AAATATAGGAAGAGAGTAAAAGATCAACTATTGATGAACTATTGGTATTCTCTGATAAAAGTATATATTAATATATTATTCAAAAATGATGAATCCAAAAAACAGCAATGGAAAATTAAAAGCATATCAACAAGTAGAATAATAATTCTAACTTTTATCATATAAAGAAGAAATATATATTCAAAATATATTATATGAAATACAATGCAATATACTCTAAAGTTCTTATGTTTATATTTTAGATTTTGCTATTCCTTCAAGACGTCAAAAAAATATGTATAGTACTCCCTTCTCCAGTTTTTATATGAGAACAATCCTAAATAGTTGAGCATCTGATTCAAGACTATGAATTACATGGATGTGTCTTGGTTTCCATAGTCCTATTATACATCTTATATTACTGCTTCACTGTTGCCAAAAATGAACAAAGAGGTTCCCATTTTAAAAGAGAACCAAACTAGTAAAAATCAGCATTATTCAGTCTAGTATTGGTTTCCCAGCTTGCATGGTAACTTTCAATGAATTTGAATGATTTTTAAAAGTAATAAAGATGGGATAGAAATAATAAATAAATAAATAGATGGGATTACATTCAAAACATCTAAGGCCATTACACCGCAATTTTTCCCCTAGTTGAATAATCAGGCTAGTGAAAGAATAATAATAGCCTGCCTCTTCCAGGTCCTTGGGAAGGACTCAATAGGTGATTAAAAATGCCAAATCCAGGCTGATTTACTTCTCTTTAGTCATTAAGATTCTTTATATGCATCAAAAAACAGCCTTCTATTATTTTAGTATTTAAAGTTTATTTATTTCCTTTGTAACCTATCAAGCCTATTCTTTCAATATGTTAAAACTTTTCAGATATTAAAATATATTACTGTGTTCTATCTGCAGTATATTATAAAATGTAGATCAGGAATTGTAGCTTGAACCTTATCCATAGCTGGAATCTACTTCTGGATAAGGATATTTCATAGATAGGAACATAGACATAAACAATATTCATTGCTAGTTATCAGGTTCCAAAATGAAATGTCTTTAATTAGAGAAAGAAAACAATTAACTTCTAAATATTGGTTGACTCAAAATGATAAATAGGAATAACCAGCATGCAATAGCAAGGGATGCTGGGAAATATATTGGAGTAATAGCTAGTGTCCCCAGTTCTCTGCTCTGATTATGAAAAGGGTAGCATCAGTAGCATCTCCAGGAATGAGAGACGTAAGGAATATCAGGTGGAGAGAGACCTAGTGAGAAGAGCTAAAAATGTGATAAGTCAGACAGTGTTCTGGGATCCATTCTGATTTAGTTTATTAGAAGAAAGCTTACCACCCACTCAAGTATGGCAGGAATGGACATTGGGGTAGGTCCTCTTTAGACAGCTGGACAGTTGGAACATAGTATATATGGAATATAGTGATCAGCAAAAAAAGATGTGATAAAGCAGATCATCACAAGGAAAGAGGTATATGAGAAGACTCATTATGTGAGATGGGTGGCCATATAATATGATCAATCTGTCGAACGATTAATAGGAAACTTGGCTCCACCACCCTGTTGGCTTCATAGCACAACCCAGTGTTTGGGTGCTGAATTGTTCAAAGTGCTAGATCCTGAAAGTCTTGCATTAAGGTTGGTTTTGTTAAATGTAGGTTGATTGCAATAGAATCCTGCTCCTACATGACTGTTGGGGAGAAAAGAGAATGCCTAGCATGCAAGACCAAAACCTGGCTAAGTGAGAATAAAATCTTTTCTTATCAAAGACACGCTCAGACAGATTTTGGTGGAACCACAGCCTGAACAAGGCTGAGTATTAGAAGATGCCTCTCTGAAAGTAATATGTTCTCATGATACCATCAGCCTCAAAGAAGGATTTGATGCACATGCTTTCCATCCTCCCAGGCTATTAAGTCATCCTAATTTCTGTTCAGTCACCAATCTTTCCTTTTGGGAGTTCCATGTGAAATGGATTATCTACATCTCTTCTAGTTTGAATTCATACCAGGGGATGGCATGGAAACTGTATTCATTGTTGTTATGTATGACCTGCAATGGGTCATGAAGCTTCACGGTCATTCTAGATCTCTTAATTGCAATTTGAACGTTAATGGCTTCTATGTAGATAGGTATCTCTTCATAAGTGAGCAGCACCATGGCTTTCCAAATGATTGCATCAAAATTTAAAGAAATAAAATGCTACTGCTAATTTTCAGCAGCAAAGGAGAGAAGGGTAGCCAATTTAGATTATATAAACAATTCCTAGGAATAGGTCACACTAAACCTGTTGATATTTTTCTTGAAGAGACAGTCCATGTCATTTCAAAGAAAGCTATTGTTATAACACTATGCTATAAACAAGCTATGAAAGCAAGTATAGTGATGATCAATTTATTTTAAAAGTTGGCTATGGTTATATGTATGTGTAACACTTTATAGTGTGTATGGATCCCTTGATGAACAGCTCCAAATCAAACCACCATTATTTTACCATTCTAAGAATAACTGAAATATTCAGATAAGAATAAATTTGAAAACCATATATGTGACAAAAATAGTTATGTAGATGTCACTATACAGTACTTCGTACCTAAGTTAGTGCTGCTGATTTTAATAAAGTTCAGAAACAGAGATTATAGATCATTAACTTATTTTTAAAAATAGGTTATGGCAACAGTTACTTGCCTTTAGGCATTGTATGTCACTAACATACACAGTAAACTAAGATACTCTGAACTTTTAACTAAAGCCAAAACCACACAGATGGTTTGAGTAAACTAGTCTTTTCTAGCCTGCAGCCCAATAGAAATGCAGTGTTACAAGTTTCATCATTTCAGCTAGAGGAATATGGAAAAGGTGGAAGTCATCAGGTAACAGGTTAGGAAAAGCACATATTGAATTATTGTAAACAGGACAACCCCCAACACACACACACTGCCAAAGCATAAGGGGCAAAGCCAAGTCAGTTAAAAAGCAAAACTGTAAATTCAGAGTATTTTAAATAGGAGCCTACTGTATATGGCTATAAAAAAGGAACTACTTAGCCAAACAATGAAAAACTACACTGAAGGTGGACAAACTATAGCTTGTCAGACAGCCCTGTTCTTGTCAGCCTTATCATGGCCAGAAGTGACAAATACTGGGAATTGTGATTCAAAAATACCTGCACTACCTCACGAGGAGTTAACATGTTCTCTCCAAACATTTTAGAATTCCACTTGCTATTGGCTTCAAATATTTTATTCTTAACTTGAATTTGAACCTGATCGATGTTCAGAAGTTCAAAGAGATTTCAATTCCCAGCAAAGCACACAGCACTAGAAAATTGTGTTGCATTAAATAGTTACTGAAACTAATTTTAATGAGCATATTCCAAAAAATTGGGCAAATTCTACCAAACCTGAAACTTTGTGAACATAACTGTCTGGCTTTATTGTTCTTTTTCTATTTGGTTAAAACTTTGAAAGTTGGGATGGAAATGCTCATCTTTCAGTGAAGAAATCAAAAATATAGATTCAAGTGTAAACATCATGAAGGCAGATCTGTATTAGATGTAACCAAGGGTTGATGTCTAGAGTGTCATCTACATATTTTTCTTTATTTCCTCTATTTCGCATTTGTTCCCTGTTGAGCATATTCAAGCAACTCAAATCCATATATTGCTTCACTGTTTTTCCGTGTGTCTGGGAGCAGAGAGGCATTCCTTTTTTGTTGGAGGAAGATGTATGCAATATACTGTATGTAGCTGCCCTAACATCCTTTTTGCCCTCCTCCATTATTGTAGACAACCAACCATCCTGTCCATTATGCAGCCAGCCAGAGGGCTGCCTTATTTGGTAGTCCAGACTAGAACCACAATAGGAATAGTAGCTTCACATTTATTGTAACATTCCATTAACAGTACCTTGCAAGTTTGAACATTCCTTATGAGACAGCAGGCTACCTAGAAAATAGTCAGCACCAGGCCAGCTATCACCCTGTTCCTTTAAGCCCTCCCTCCAGCCAGTAATAACAACTATGACTATAAAAGCTGTGTTGAGAAACAGCTGGAGGGGTAATGTTAGTGTGTGGAATAGATAATTAAGTTTATATTCTCTTATGCAAATAAAACAGCACAAAGAGCCTAAAGTGATTAGAAAAATACTTTTCTCCAGTAGAAGGACTCATAACAAATAGTTGAAGCAGAAATAGATGTAGTAATAGTAGTAAGAAAGAGTGAGCAGTGAGTAGTAATATGTGTGTGTGTTGTCTAGGGACCTGGGTTATTTTGTAGCTCTCTTGAAGCCCACTGACTTAGATCTACTTAAAAGAACCTGACACATTCATTCTTACTCTCATGAAAATTGAGAAGGCTCCCTTCAGGGATGGTTTTACCACCTGTCTTCCTTTGGAATCAAATTTAATTTACCTGACCATGCCTAGGCTGTAGCTCTTCTTCTTGTTCCAAGGTTATTCCTACATACTATTACAAGAGGCTATGGTGGAAGATTTTGACCTCAAATATAATTTCTAGATTTCTCTTCCCAGGACAACACTAGGTAAATTACTATTTATGAAATGCCTTCAAAAGGAAAAGACTGAAGGAAAGGGATAGGCCAGATCTCAGAAATAACAATCTAGAACAATTTGACCAGGTATGGAAAAGGCAAGTATATGTGATAAAGCTACAACCAGTCATGAGGCTACCATTAATAAAGTGAGGAGAGAGATACATGGCCTGATGTGAAATACTGTAATGTTGTACTGTGTTTCGAAGTAAGATTGACCAGTTAAGAACCCATTGTGTTTGCTCAAAGAAATGGGTTTTCTTCATTTTTAGACATTTTATTTGCCTTCATTTGGGGGATTTTTTTAGCAGCAAGCTACACATGAAACTATGAAAGTTGCTTGCTGTGGTGTTGTAGATACAGCAAGGAGAGACATCTTTGCTTTGTTCCAGTAAACTTTTCACTTATATTGAATGAATAAAAATAGAATCATTAGACATTCAAACAACCATATTTCAGAAATCAGCTGCCAGATTTATTAATCTACCTGGAAAAATGTGGAATAAAAACAGAACTTAAAATAAACTCTTTTTTTAAAGGTACAATTTCAAAAGGATCCAACAATTCCAGATAACAAATTCTTATACCATTTTCCCCCTGGGAATTATCTTTTTTTTCAGTGAATCACTACCATATACAGTATATAGATATAGATATATATTAAATATTAAGACATTTGACTCAGGCTTTCTTTTTTTCAACTACCCCGTTCACCTAATATTTTCTCTTCAAGGAACTGTTCCTTGCAATAAAACCAGGACCAAAAGTAATCACAGAACCTTTTATTTAAGGGGGACATATATTGGCGATCTATGTCAGTTAAAAAGTGGCTGTGTAAATCTGGATTAATCCATACTTTTCAGAACAAAGACCAGCAGTTTGTTCTGGATTTTTTGCTATCAGGTGACATGTTCTATATACTCCTGCCCATTAAAAATACAGATATGATGCAGGAGATTGAAGGTGTTCTCAGTTGTCCTGTGAACTGACACCAGATGATAATCCCAGGTAAAATCCAATGCTACCTTTGGGTCTATTAATAAGACTGGTGAATTAATATTTTCAGTAAGAGGGGCATTGAGGGGTGGAGATAAAATGCTTGGCCTCCTGAATCGACTCAATATGCTTTTATGTCTGGCTTCCTGAAAGAATAAAAATACAATTTTCATTAAGCAGAATATGTTCAGGTTTCTAGTAAAGATATTTGATTCTCCCTGTTTAGCACATATACTTTGTCACTTCTGCTTCACAACTGGTTTATTTAATACACCTTGTTAGAAGCAAACATGTTTCTGTGCATCTACCCTAACTTAGCAGTTAAGGCAAGGAGAAACTTTCCTTTACATTCTTGTTAAGAGGATCGAAATTGGCAAGAGGGCAGCTGTGCAACCACATTAATACCCTACCCTTTTGTACCTGTATGTACATACAGGAGGTGGGGCTTCAATTGTGATGTTGCACCTGCCACTTTAGAGATCTTGACTCCTCCAAAGATGTTCCTGTTGTTAAGATTGGGGGACATATTTGGAATTTTAAGTAGCTCATTCAGAAAAAGATTACAGATGACTATTCACAAAATGGCTGCCATAATGGATGCAGCTAGACAGAAATCACCTATCCACCAGATGGCAAATGCATATGTATCCCCAGGACTTCTACCACCTCATTTACCTAGGTATATTCTTAGTGAGCAAGCAGACATTCCCCAACTGCTATTTTTATTTTAATAAAAGCAGAATTGTGATTGAAGACAGCTAGAAGCTGGCATTCTGAAAATGCTAGCCTCCCATGTTTAAGTTAGGTGTGGAGGGAAGTCTAGAGAAGGTCAACGGAGACATCTGTAGGCATCATGATTAAAGCCACTGATTCTATCCCAATAGGTAGGTTTTCAAACAAAAAACAAATTTTATAGCCAGCTAGAGAAATTTTGCCATTGAACAATGGCAGGGATAAGTTGAAGCGCCTTTTGCAGAGATTTCTGTAAGGTTAACATGCCATGGAATTTTTTAACATGCACACATGAAACTTTCTTAATGTTTTAAGATGAAAGAGATGCAGACTCAGTGTGCTTTGTTGTAGCTGTGGTTTATAGTGGTTAATACTCATTAAGTTTGAAATAAATTGCATTATAAACTCATTTATAGATTTATAATGACTAACACTGAGTGCAAAGTAAATCACCACATCCCAGCATCTCTGATATCATGTCATTTACAATGAAACATTAGTTTTGAAACTAATAATTATAGACTCCTAACCACCCTTTTTCTATTTCAAAGTTGATGGTTTCTGGGCAAAGTATGTATATAACTATTGGGATGGATGTTCTGGAAGAGAAGTGGTTTGAAAAACCACTCTCCAAACTTCAAACATGCTTTCCAATTCCTGTTCCAATGCAAAATGTTAACACTGAAGATAAGGTCTTCTTAAATATTATTCATTTAATTTGATCTCAAGAATAAGATCTTTGTTGTCTTTCTAATGTTGCCTTTTTCAAAAATTAAAACAACTTTTAAAGGGATTCCCTAATCCCACTTACAATTAGTGTTCCTAACAAAATTTGTTAAGCATCAGTGCCAGCACTACATTATGCAGCCAGAAAAAAAAAAGAAAATAACTATATTTTTGATATTATATAGAAGTCTCTGCTCTAAAGAGCATTATAAAAGTTCAGCAGAGCTCCTCTTTAGCAAGCTGGAAAGTCCGATCCATGTTGCAATGCACATAAAAGCTGTTTATAGCACAGCTATGGCATAAGCTATTTTTCTAAGCAGTAAAAGGTTCAAGTCATCTATTTTGTCCTGAATGCTACCTGTAGTTACAGCGTTGCTTATAAAGAGCATAGTAAATTCAGCAAAGAGAGTATTACAGGAATAAAGACAGCAGCAGAAGCGATTGCATTAGCTAGTAAGTATATATGCTTATCAACATAACATAGCAGTATAAAGGCTTAAATGCATATTATTGGATATTGTGTCTAAAAATTACTAAAGTACTTATTTGTATATTGAATGTTTTGCTGAAGGAGAAACTGCTGTAGATTGAAATAGCATAACGAGATATGAGCAGTAGTACAGTTAATTCTTATTGATTAAATAACCTATTTATAGATCAAAGAAAGTGGAAGGACAGCATTCTGTCTCACCCTTTGTGATCACAGTCCTGTGCATAGTTAAAAGAATATGCAGAATGGTTCAGTATAAACAATTACTATACTCAGGTAGACGTTGAAAAGTTGAAAATGATTAAATGTTGATTTATTTGCATAACAAGATGGCACCTAATATCAGAAGCTAAGCTACAGCCTTGCAATTTATAATCACAAACCAGGAACTGTGTTCTTCGGACCAGAATGAATGCGTTCCTTAATGACTTATGTACAGAATCAAGGTAGTGTCTAAGATACATAGATATGTTTTTAAGAGATAAAATAAAAGTAGAACCTGCCTTTTAAGGAACAAAACTAAAAATCCAATTCTAGTTCTTCTCAAATCCAGCATCTATTATTGGTTGTTAGCTCAGTGGTAGAGCACATATTCTGAATGTGCAAAACTCAATCTTTGTAAAGGGTAAATAATGTCTGTCTAGCAATAAAAAAGACAGGAAAAATGGTAGACTATAGTGAAAATGGGAGAGAAAGGGAAGAGTGTCATGACAGATAATTCTCTAAGTAGTGTACAAATGGTTATTGATCACGTCTAGAATTAACTGTACTATGGGTAATTAGAGAACATGTACATTATTTTTAACCAAGTAAGAAACAAAAACAAACTCAGACATGATACAGCTTTGTTGTACTTAAAACCTGTGTTTTTCACCCTTGTCATCTTGTTCCAAAGAATAAACAATTAGATTCTAAACTTCCCTTTTCAAATAAAGTGCACTGTCCATGTCAGACTACAGGAGTAATACAACAGAAGAAACCCCTTTATAGTACTCTTTTATTCTTTTAACAGTTTTTAATCCTTATTCTTATAAAATCAACTGAAGGGAATTCAGCTTTTGTCTTGGTCTCATGAAAGAGGAGAAGCTTAGGTTGAAGAAGGGGCTTCATTACTGTCACTCCAATTAATATACATAGCCTTCATTATAAGGGTGGGTATTACAGCAGCCTCCTTCTTGCATATAGACCATACTCTCATCAAAGTGGGACAGAGGGACAGTGTCCTCTTCATTGATATGACGTTCGACGTCAGTTTTCAGCAAGGGACGCTGGTTATCCGGAAAGGCCATGGAGAAGAGGGCTTCAGGGTCACAAACAAACTTGTACACGTATCTCTCTCCAGCAACCTTAAGAGCAATGTTAAAGAAGGAGAAGGGTGGAAAAGAGAAAGGCTGTAAGAGATAGAAGTACAATTTTCTTTTGCAGCCATATAGGGGTATCTATCAAAAATATTGTGTGCATCAGGACACAGAAAACAAGATGCACAAGGAAAACTGGGCAAAAATTAGATGACAGTGAATGACATGGAAGATTAATGGCTTTACTATTTTTTAAAAATAATCACATTGAGTAGGGATTTTCAAACCTTTTCAGGCTGTAGAACCTTCATTTTAGAAATATCCTAAAGCTCTTGATGAGAGGCAAGCTCTAGTGATAGAAAAATTGAATGAGTCTGCATTAACTTTTTCTTTTAAGTCTGTCATGGAACTCTACCAACATTTTGTAAAAAAAAAAAAAACCCTAGAATTTAGGGAACATAATTTTAAAAAATAATCTCAACATATAGAATTCTTTTGAATTGCATGACTGTTTTAATTTGAAAAAATGTATTGAACAATCCAAACCTATGACTCATTGTTAATAAGCTTCTGTTGTCCCAAATGCAGGAAAAGAAGAGGGACAAAGGAAGAGACAACTGCCAGACAAGTGCCTACAAGATTAGACAGGCCAAGTACAGTCTTATTAGTTTCCAATACATATTTTAGGTACCAATTCTTTTCTTGAGCCATAATGAAGCTTGAAGCAATTGAAGTTAGATTGTATCACATTAGCTGATGCCGTATTAGTTGTTCCTGGCTCTTTAGGCCAAATGAGGTTGGTTTTCTTTTTTTATTTTATGATAGATGAAAAGTGCCCTGGAAGCTTTGAATATTTATATACCATCAAGCTATTTTGATGTAGAGGGTGACTAAACTTGATCAGAAAAACATTTATCTTCAAGAAAGTAAGTTGATAATGGACTCCATCAAGATGTTATTTTCACAAGAGCTCAGAAAAGAGAGGCTCTGGTCATTTGAGACAAGTATAAAAAACCTGATGGCTTTTGAATCCCACCATTTTTTGTGCCTGCCTTCAGCAAAATGGAAGAACCTTTACCACTCTGCATGCGTTTTATTATGGCTACTTTTCCCAAAGAAACTGTTAACAGGAAGTTTGTGTATCATCCAATGACAGTCTCTTTTTTATCTCCGTAATTTTGAGGCAAGTTCTTGGAAGAACACAATATGCTTTTTTATTATTATTATTATAAAGTCTGTTTTGCATGTTTTCTTGAAACTTCAACACTCAGATATGTTAATCTCATGCTAACATGGTTAGCATCAACTATATATTTTCCTACTCACAAACCCTTCTGTTTTGGATAAAATATTTTTCTTATCTGATAAGGCATTCTTGGAAGCTTAAAAGCTGTTAATTCACAAATGTATTGTTGGCCTAATGAAATACTGCTTTCATCAGATTTTGATTTTATTTCCTCTTTTGAACAAATGCCTATGTGTGTTTTGGTTAATTTGATTTTTACAGTTATTATTTAAAACAAGTGAGTTGGCTTTAAAAAGGCAGCATAATTATGTTTTGATTTAAAAAAACAACAGATATACTGAATATTGAATACACTTCTAGAATTATTCTGATTCTTAGTGTAAGTACTGAATTAAATAGGGGAAACAAAATTGAAATCCCCAACAAGCCACTGAAATCAAATAATCTTATGTCAAATCACTGTATCTCTTAATCTCAATGCAGGGACCTTCAGATATTGTAGAACTACATCCTCTAAAAGCTCCAAGTAGTATAGCTAATGGATAAGGATTCTGGCCACTATCATATGGCAATATATGAAATCTTCTAATCCCTCTCTCAGTAGTTTTAACCTTTTATTTATTGATTTATTGAATTTATTATTCAAATTTACATTAATTAATATTAAATTAAAGAAATTTATAAATTAAGCAAATGTATAAATTAAGCAAATTATTAAAATAAATTGATAGTGTAAGAATGACATGAACCATAAAAACAGCTGCAGTGTCAAAATGAAGACAAAAAAATTGAACCGTTATAATTACAATCAAATATATATATATAATATAGTTAATACAAAAGATTTCTTTTTAATCAAGGATAATAGTTTTCTATCTATTTTTTGAAACTTTTGAAGAAACTACTACAATCTGCCTCACGTTTGAGTCTTGGCTCTTTAGAAGGTTTTAAAGGAAATTCAAGACATACTTTGCAAGAGGGTTGTGTTCTCCCTGACATGAGGGTATGTGAAGAAGAAAAGTGAACAGAAGGTATTAAGCAAGCCAATCTCTTAATGGTGTGAAAGAATGTACAAAATTGACCAAAACTCTACTAAAACTTTTCAATTTACTTCAAGGTTCATAGTCTATGTCATGGATTTTGAAATAATAGACTGGGGAGAAGGTTTCATAAGGAAATTTAAAAGTTAGACATTTAATGCACTTACTTAAATTGGTCATACTGGATAATGCAGTTTAGAAATACTTATATTTTTAAACTAGTTTATACATTAACATGCAATATTTCACTGAAATACAAAAAACTATAAATTCCTCACCTTTTGCATGATTCCCTTTTCATAATAATAGCGAAGTGAACGGCTAAGTTTATCATAATTCATAGCTGGCCTGTTTTTTTGAATCCCCCAGCGACGTGCCACCTGTAACCAAGAGAGATTAGCATCCATCAATTATATTTTTTAAAATTTGTTTTATAAATTTACCTGACCCCTTCCTATCAGAATTTAGGCCTTCCCATAGTAATGAGGTAGTTGATTGCATAGATTGATTGCACTTTGATATATCTTATTATTTCTCCTTAACCTCTCAGCAATTTTGATGTCATCTGTCTGGCTAACTGAGTTAGCATTACCTCACAATGGGCTTTCAGACACAATTCAATGTATGTTATCCAAAAAACAGAGTGCCATTCATGACATAGTGCCAGGTTACTTATGAAACTGCCTGTCTACCATTATCTATCCATCGCCCACCAGATCTAGCAAGGAGAGCATATGCTGCAGGTTCCTTGAATTAAAGACCTTGCTGTTCTCTGAGTCATTTGGACTGGATGGTTAGGTGAGTTTTTGTTGCTAACTTTGTCTTTTTGAGCTGGGTGTGCTGGTAAATCAGAATCAGAATCAATCTTTATCACAGACCAGCACAAAAGTTAAACATTAAAATAAATATATTTTCTAAAAAATATTGGAAAATAATTAAGCAAAGTTGTAATACGAATAAGAATCTTTAGTTCTTTAGGTGTTTTTTTCCCCATCATTGCAGCAGCACAAAATTTCACTACTGCACGAGTGGTGGCTGGATTTGAATCCTGAAGGAGATGTTCATGAAGAAATTATCTGATCTCCCTAGAAATCTCTCTAATAGAGAGAATGTATGTTGATATGATGTCCCTGTAGCATAATAGGGCATGAACTGGGTGTGCAGTTGTACTTGTAACTTTGGATATTCAGTTAATTTAGTAAATTGTTTTTAACCTTTGTGACTTTTAAAGTCAGTGTTTTGTCTAAGAGATAGATGGGCATATAAATTTATGTTTGAACATCATGAATTGTTCAAACAAACTAATACACAATAAACGATATGTAAATAAATGCAGTTTTTCAAAATGTAGACAAAATATAAACATATAATTAAAAAGAAAAATAAACTGATAAAAACAAAAATGAAATAAAAATGCTATTTTTCAAAGAAAAATGCTAGCTAAATATGTTTTTTAAAAAATAACAAGTTTTTCTAAAGAAGTGTATATATTTCAAGTTTGAATACTGATGTTATGTTAGGATACAACTGAATCAATATCAGCATATTTATAGGGATGTCCTATTCAAATGGACAATTCACACCACTATATACTCTTCCTAATTACACCATTCCATCCCTCCTTATTCTCTCTTTTGCTTAGTAGTAGGCATTCAAGCTCACAAAAGCTGGTTAGTTTTCATTATTTATCTATTTTGGATCACACCAAATATCTTTTCATCATTTTCCCAAACTTAATTTCTAACCATACTATTCAGGATAACAATTCTTAATCTTCTTCCAAACACATTGATAATCCTCTAAAGTTCAAGCAGCAAATCTGTACTTTTTAATAATTTTTCTATTCCTTTCTTTTTGGGTAAAAGATTTCAAACAGAATAGAAGAATTTCTGTCTCTGTGTGGAAATTTGGGGATTTTATGCATTCCAATGTATGATATAATCTGAAAATCCATGCATGGCTCTTTACATATGAAGGAATGTATGTGTATGATATGTGAAAGCTGTGAAGAATCACAGATGACATGACAATGAATATAAACACGGAAAGGGAGGCTAAAAGAGAATATAAATAGGTCCAGTTCTGATATTAAGGGCCATGGTAGAATTAGATTCTTTAGAAAGTGAATTTCAAGACAATAACATACTTAAAATTGTGTGAATTAAATCTTATCCAAGGTATAAATGTGTACAATAGACATATTTGATCCTCATTTCTCACTCTTACTGATAAAAGGAAAATATTATTTCTGGGATTTATTTTCTACTTTACTTCCAGGAGCTCAATGTAAGGAACACAGTGATCTCTCCTTTTATTTTCTTCACAATAATCAATCCTAGTGCTGTTGGGCTGAGAACAAGCGGTAACTTTTAGCTCAGATAAACTGCAAGTCCAATGCAGTTGGTTCTTATAAGCATCGATGTGTAAGAAGCCATACACAGAATAATAAATGTTTTATTTAAGGATTTCAAAGGTGCATTATGCATGACTATATTACTTTTGAGTTTTATGAAGAAAATATAGAAAGAAAGAAGAAAAAGTACTGAAGCAATGTTTTAAAGTACATAGATGCAATATAGGAAAGCCCTACTCACCTCTTCTGGTTCAATCAGCTTGAACTCCATACCTCGGCCAGTCCAAGCAATGAAGTGAGAGTTTGATGGATCATCAAGAAGAGCTACCAAAAATTGCCACAACTGAAGAGAACCACGCCGCTGGTATGTGGGACCTTCACGATACATTCCTGGCTCCTGCTTAATGTCACCTATGCAAAAGATAATGTGGGTTAATTGATTTCAGTTCATTGAACCCAAGGATGCAGTAAATTTAATACCAACAAAGAAAGAAAAATAGATGCTATTGTAGCAAGAGAGAAGAGAGAGAGAAAATGGTATATTGGTTACTATTAATGACTTAGGGACAACATAGTGCACTATAATTCTTCAGAAAATAGCTAATTACAAATTTAAAATACAATGTTACTTACTTATTCCTGAATCAATTCATATAGTATAAAAGTAGCTATCAAAAGTTATGCAAGATCCAGCTTTGGAAATGGTGATATCTGAAGGAATCTTTTGTGCAATAGTTGACACAATCTCTCATTAGGAAAAACAGTGTATGTATCTTCTCCTATTGCCTGCAAATTCTTATATGAAAACATTTAACAGTATTTAAATAAAACGTAACAGGATTTTATTGTATGGATATTCAAATTTTATGGATCAATCAGTTCCTTTTTGGTATTTCACATGGTTTAGATATTCATTCACAATTTTCTGAAAAGCACTATCAGTTGAGAAAGTATACAGTTATATATTAAAGCTCAAAGATAATCTAACATGCTATATTTTTCCCACCAGAACCAATAAAATGCTAAATACGTGATTTTTAAAATAACCTTACTGAATAAAACATTCAAAATATACAATTGTCAGCTAAAAGTTCATAAGTGAAATTATTATTTTTGTTCACCTTATGAGGACCACAATTATTTTTAAATGCAGAATTTCCAAACTGATTATTTTATTTTTAAAAAAACCTTATGACAATTAAATTAGTTCTCTATTTAATTTAATCTATTGATATTAGCTTCCACACCACCATACAGATGAAAACTTTAGACAACTTTCACCTCATTATCTGTGAAATTGAATGAGTCAAGGTTATTAACTAAGCCATCTGAATAAATTTAAGGCTGACAATTTGATTATTAAGTATATAATAACATTTCCAGAATTATCTTTTGGGAGAGAGAAGTAAAGATAGTAGTTTTATCAAAACATTATCTTTTGGGAGAGAGAAGTAAAGATAGTAGTTTTATCAAAACAATATCAAATATTTACTTGTGTCACATGCAAAATTCATATGAAAGAAGTGAGGCTTCAGTCATATGGTCATGTCCTTGATTATTTTTATTATTATTTTTGGATACTATTCTACAGAAAGAACTAGTCTTGAGCATGAATATTATAAGAGCACAGTTTTTCTTTGGATTCCCCTTTTGGGAGGATTTTTGGTTTTTAGAAATGACACCTGTAGAAGCTCAAGGAGGGATTAAGTTATCATGAATTTAAAGGGAAAAGTAAGAATGGGATTCTTAGCTGTCTTCAGCTGAATGAAGAGGTAGTGGTACTGGACAAGTAGATAACACAAGCCTTTCAACTGAAAAAGTTTACTGAATATACTTTAAAAAATTGCAAAGCTGGAAAGAACCACTACACTTCCCATATTCCATTGTATTTTGGCTGCCATAACTATCTTCTACTTGTTTAAAGGTTATATATTACTATGGATATAACTATCAATTCCATACATAAATCACTTAGCTGTTTTGCAAAGCAGCCTTCCCCAGTGCTGAAGAGGAACACAGTTAATGTGACATGAAATACCCATTCAAATTCCTTTGGCTACAAAAAGCAAGCTTAATCTTATTAGTAATTTCCCTTCAGAATACATACTGGTTTGATATCTGATAATGAGAAGAATATGCTTTACTTCATATGACACATGATATTAGTTACTATCTTAAAAAATTTTTTTAAAGACAGTATGTGGTATTATATCATATACTCTACCCTTTGGACATCAATTTCAAGATATACAAGAGATTATAACAATCAGCAAAATTGTTGATACACATAGAAAAGCAGATGCACTTGTGCTCTCTATAATTCATCTCTTCAGGGATTGAAAAATAAAATAAAGAGCTTGGAATATTAGTAAGTGCAGAGTAGCTGCATTCCATTCTGCTTAATAATTATGAGATCAGTTTTCAATAAATCTCTAACAACAGGTTTTATGCCATTATCAGTGCATTTGAAGCCTATCTATCTAGGCCCTGTGATCTATTGGAATAATTAGAAGTTGCCCTGGTTCTGAATTTAGAGTAATATGATTGCAAAACATATTTTGATTTATAAAAGCAAAGTTAATCACACAAATAACAAATTATATATTTATCTCTCTTCAATTGGATTGTTACTATTGGTTTTATTAAGTAAAAAAACTTGATTCTCTTTTGATTTCATTACATAGAACTTCTGAAATATTGGATAGATGAACGAATAAATGTATGTACATAACATACCATCAAATTTCTCTGGAACAACACAAGTGTCATCATAAAATTGTCTTGGACCTTTTTCATACATACAACCTGTAATTTTAGGAAAAGCAGACACATTACTCTCTTGAAACAGAATATTAAAATACATTGCCCTTCCCAACCTGGTCTCCTTTCAGAATTCTTATCTGGAAAACATTAGGAATTTTGAAAATTGGCATCCAAAACTGAAAAAAATTCCAAGTAAATGCTACAGCTAAGGGTCAAGATACATATACTTTATGTACCAGGCTGATTAGAATGTTATAGGTTAGAGTATTAGTTAGCAATACAGCAATCTTCTGAGAGAATAAAATATAAATCCCCCAAATTACTATATTGTCATACATAGAGAAAATTGTGGTTTTGCCAAGTCAAATGAAAAAATTGAAAAGCTTCACTTATTAACTGTTTCTTCACACATAAGAAAATGTCTTGCCTTGAAAGGAGGCCCAAGGAATATAGTAAATGAATAGTGAGATAAAAATATGCTGATGGTAATGGCAGGTAGTTTATTTTATTTATTTTACAATATTTAGCACAAAGTATTGTCAAGCCATGCACCCTCCCTTTTCCTAAATGTAATCTTACAAGCTTAGTTTATTTTGTTAATTAAAAGAATAGTGATTTTGAATACTCTGATCAATTGTTAAAAAAAGAAGTTATTGTAATAGATAAATTAGTTGTCTAAAAAATCTAGAAACTATTTTAGGTCACAATTAAGTTCACAATTAAATGAACTGATGAGGAGTTAAAACAAGTGTAAATCCTTTTTTTCTTTATCATGAATTTTATTGACCAGCCTTGTTAGTATCACTGTTGGTAGATTTATAAAAACATTTTTCCCCTTTCCTTTATTCTTTAGTTTGATAGAAATCTACAGTATCTATCATCATGATGGACAAAGTAGATATCTAGACAATGCACAATATGTTCAAAATAAACTTGAAGAATAAATAGTACTTTGCCACGCCACTTTGTTTTAGAGAAAAAGTTCCAGTTTCTATTGTAGTAACATAGCGTTATCCTATAAATTACTTAGAACATACCTGAAGAAATATGAAATAAAAAAAATTAAAATCTCCCAAACACGGTTCTCTCTTCCAGAGTTACATGTGCCTATTTAGGAAAACAAACAGGTATCCCTCTAAGAAAGCTTGTTTTTCAGGAACAGGTAGTTTTACAATTATTTTTCTAATTCTGTCCATTTCTAGCATATTTGGTCTAAGCTAAAATCCTGTTTTTAGACAAGAAGAAAGCAAAGTTCATGCATACATACAAGGGTATATACAGAGAGACTTAACTTCTGATCTGTTTGTGTGAGTGAGGAAGCCTTCTTGCCTCATGTAAATGGAATGGCAACTAGGCACTTCTGAAATGAGAAGGCAATATTAGTCAGATAATCGTTTAATTGAAATTGTGCACATGGTAAACATGAAAGTAATGTTGCGAGCCAGATTTGAACATTTTTTTTTAAAAAATACTGCTCATTCTTGGTTCTATTTGGAATCTGTATCCTAGTAAAGCTCCTATACCTTTAACCCTTACATGGGTAAAATTGTTCATCATGGGGAAAGAAGTACCTCAAATGAATTAACTTACAGAATGCTGTGATCCATTACTCATAAGGGGGAAAAGTTTTAGAAAGTTTTTGCCATTTCAGCGCCACTTCACTGTTGCAGTTCAGCACCACCGCTGCACTGCCATAGTCATGTGATCCTCATTTATAACTTTCCTAAGACCTTTCCACAAATCATTGGAGAAACTTGGGAAGATTGCAGTGGATCAGCTGAACCTGGGAGATTGATGAGTGGTTTGGATTTGCATTGTGTGTATATAAAGAAATATATCTGAAAGGATTATTTGATGGGTCGTGGGTTGTCCAAATTCTAAAATTCAAATGATTCCATGTTTCCTTAGGTTTCCAGTCATTTAGCTATCCTGATGTTGAACTGATAAAGCCTAGTTTTGAAGGATAATGGAAACAAAACATAATTCACTTTAAAGGTCTACAAATATTTATTTTTTCCAATAGAACCATTTGCAAGCATTTTTACTGACATCAGATATTAAAACCAATCATCTCATATGATCATCCACTCCATTAAACTTCAATGAAACATCAGACTTATGCGCAAGTTTACACTATTTTATTCTGATGTTCAATCAATATAACCAGAATACATAATGAAGTTCTCAAACATATTTAATACTCTGAGTATTTAGGAATGTTAGACTAAAACTTGATAAATACAGTTTTGATTTTTTGTTCAAACACCAGGAATTTTTCTTTTATTTGTCTGCTCTAATAGAAGTGGAGATAAGGAAAAACGATATCGACCTTGTCAAGGTTTTTCCACACCCTCTTGTTTATTGGAGCTTTTTATTGCTCTTGTTTGGCAATTTAAATGTGAAAGAGGTAATCGGTAGTGGAAGAGATATTCATATCAGTTTTTCATGTACTACTTAGTTGTTCATGTATGGCACTAACATTAAAACTATTTTATTCTTCACAAAACAAAAACAACCCCACCCCATAAATGACACAAGCAGTTGCTTTCCACCAAATTATGACAGAAGTTATAATAAAATTATTACAATTACCATATTTTATTATTTATTTATTTGGACAATTTATATAGTTTCTCCATTTAACATATAATGCCAGAATTGGGAATTTACTCTGGAGCCAGATTCCTTCCTATTATTTAATTGCACCTAAACCCCAAATATTCCAAGAAAGATAAGATTTATTTTTAAGTAAACCAATAATTTGTTCAAGGGTACAGTTTGTCTCCCTAAATTTCTCCCAAACTATTGGCATAAATTTTAATTATTTACTTGTTTATATTTTTATCTAATAAATCTTTATTTTATCTTTAATTACACACAATGTTCCTTTTTCCTCGTACTTTCTGACAACAACCAGCCTATGAAGTGAGTTAGGCTGAAAATGCCCAAAGTCAGCCAGCTGGTTTTCATGCATAAGGAAGGATTAGAACTCACAATCTTTTGATTTGTAGGTCAGCAGTTTCAACACATATTTTGTGTGCAGCGCTTGCAGCTTTTCTGAAGGATATGAATTTTAATCTTGAGTTTCAATTCCATAACAAACTGCTCACATGTATTCTAGAATTTTAATTTGAACATTCTGGCAAGCAAAATGTAGTTTGCTATACTATCACATTTTTTTCTTAGATTATCTCTGAAGAATTAAAAAACAACAATAAGTAGCTAAAGGACCAAAAGTAATTTACTCAGTGTGGTGTGCAGTCCTTTTCCAAAATGCAATCCTCAATTTCACTGCTCACTGACTAGTGATATGTATCAAGGAGTTAGAGGCAAAAGAAAATGAGATTTTTACATCAAATTCACTAAGTGAGTGTAGCCACTGATAACAGTATGACCATCTATCAATTTCCTTATTCCTTATATCTTTATTCTTTTTTTACTATGAACTATATCTGTTAAATTAGACTTGTGATACTTAAAAGATTTTTTTAAAGTCAGTGAAAAGTGAAAAATACAGTGCATGGCAGAATATTATAAATGCAACCTGTCCTCCCATTAACAACAGCAATTATTTCTTCTATCCTTGTAACATTTAAGCAAACTTACCTTTATTGTGATTTTGGGGTTGTATTTCCCACCTCAAACTTCCAACTAATGGTAAATACTACTAGAAGAATGGAACATGCAACTTCATATCAACCTTAGCAGCATAACATAGAATGTTTGCTCTAGATGTGATCTCATATTACTCAAGAATTTGCAGCTTTGCATGTAGCCCAAGATTAGTTACATTATAAAATATGTAAGCAAAGTAATGGAGAGAAGTGTTAAAGCACCGAAGTGCCTTCCCCACCTCTGTTTGTCAAGTCAGATCCTGATTCCATATCCTGGTATGCAATCCCTATTTTTATCAAAAGGGTATTAAGAATCGCAATATGCCCAAGAATAAAAGGAAAAAAGGGGCAGAATAATCACACTAATATAATAAAATGTATTCCATAGTTTTTTTTTTTTAATGTATCATTGACTCAAGAGTACACAGAAGCTCTCATCACTGCTTAGGCCTTGAATCCATTTATTTCTTGAATGGAATTGACCATGTGTTAAATCTCTGTAGTGTGAAGCCTTTGTATTGTAAGGCACCATGTAATATGTAGAGTTCAGTGGTGGGATTCAAAATTTTATACTAGCGGTTCTGTGGGTGTGACTTGGTGGGTGTGGCAGGGAAAGGATGCTGTAAAATCTCCAGTCAGAGGTCTCCATTTGCCGGTTTTCCAAATTATTCAAAATTTCCGCTACCAGGTCTCCAGAACTGGTCAGAACCTGCTGAATACCACCTCCGGTAGAGTTTTTGATCATATCTAAATATCTTTATATCTTTGGTATAAAATGTATCTAAATATATTTTGTACTTAGATCAATAAATACACCTCCATTCTTCTCCACTTTTCAATATCTTTTTTCTGAAAGCACACAGGTGGCTCTTAACTTGCAACTATTCATTTAGTAATCATTTGAAGTTATGAGGGAACTGAAAAAAGTGAGCTACGACCAGTCTTTACACTTATTACCATTACAGCATTTTTGCGATAATGTGTCTCAGAATGACCAATGGGATGCATTTACAACAGTTGTAGCATCTCTATTTGCGATCTACCCATCCAGCTTCTGACACCAAAGTCAATGGGCAATCCAAATTCACTTAATGACAGTGTCAGAAAGGTCATAAATCAGAGCACTGTCTCTCGTAGTGACAGAAGTTCAGATCCTAGTTATGATCATAGGTTGCGAACTACTTGCATGGGCAGTGAGAAATATAATTATGATGATGGAACCTGTAGTCCAAATGTATCAATTTTTAATATTGCAATTGACATGTTAGTAGCTTCCTGCTATTCACCACTTTGCATTTAACATAGACATATGATTAAACACTCCGCTCTGGTTTGAAAAGAAGAATCCCGTTTTTAATTTTTATTTCCAAAGGACCCAAAGCCGTATGATTCTAAAAGTGCAGTTGGTTAATTTATGACTATCAGAATGGGTCAAGCTCTAATCAAATTTTAGAAACATTTCCAAAGTGATTATTCAATCAAATGACTATCATGGTTAATTAGGAGCCATAAACATTGCTCTGAAGTTCATCAAAGTAATGACTTAACCAGAAAAAAATACTGCCAATTAAATTCCCTGCTGCTTTCATTTCTAGCTTATCTAATAAAAAGGCCAACAAATGAAATTTAACATTGCAGTTTTAAATTGTGCTAAATGTTTGACTAATACCTAGCAATAATTTAACTAGCAAACTGGCACTGGTAGATAATGATTAAAAACTGTGCCACTATGTATATTTTAATAGTTGATGGTCTTTTTGAAAGTAAGAGGGAAGAATAAAAATAGCAGATTTTATAATAATGCTTGAAACAAAACAGATGGGTCAGAACTGTTCCATCCAAGGTTAGTATTATAGAATAGCTCAATGTTTTTCAACTTTATAAACTTTTAAGATGTGTGGCCTGCAACTACCAGAGTTCCTCAATCAACATGCAGGCTGAGCAATTGTGAGTACTAATGTCCATATAGTAAGTTGGTAAGATGGGGAGACACCGAACTATAGCACATGTAAATAATTCCAAGTTATTATCATATTCATCTACCTATGATGAAAAACACTCTCTAAAACTGAAAAATTGATGTCAGCATTAGCAAGAATAACTGAGTATTCATGGTATGCTATTTCCCAACTTCATATAGATGAAAGGCAATAAAGCAAACTATAAACAGAAGCAGCATTCAGTAAATAAGAAGACCAATAAGTAATATTCATGAATAAAATAGTGTTTTTTGTTAAATCAAACAAAATCCATCACAATACTTCAAAGTAAGCCTGCCAACATCATTATCAAGGCAGTTTCCATAAAGGATTGTTCTATGGGAAACCAGGAAGGGAGTAGCCACAGACCCAATGAAGAGAAAAGATGTACAAATAGAAATAATCCAAACCCTGATTGACTCATGCTCTTAATTATCAATTCCTTTGTTTCAATCCAGCTATGATGGAACATTATTAAATCAATGGGCAGACACACTTACAATAAGCAAGTAACAAAGTAAATTCAAATATATGCAAATATATTTCCAATGGAAATCCTTCTTTTCAATCAGTGTTTCTCAACTTTAGGAAACTTTAGAATGTGTGGACTTCAACTGCAGGCTGCGGAATTCTAGAAGCTGAACTCCAATATCTTAAAATAATTGCAGCCTCCCAGTATTACAAAGGCTGTATGTGAAACACTGCCTTCCAATATTGCAAAGCCTTTGTCAGCCAGAGTTTTATAAGTTTTGAGCAGTGGTGGGATT